GGAAAGAGGCCATTTTAAGGAGTGGTTCTTATGGGCAAAGAAACAAAAATGCCCAAAAAAGCTGAAGTATCAATATATAGTAAGCATGTCTAAGAAATCTGGCAAATACACTTACATTTACTGCCCCCAATGAGAGCTTGCTGCAGTGTCCAATTATAGAATTATTGTATTTTTAATGTAATAAGCAGTATCTGAAAGTCCAGCTATTATACACTGATGTGACATCAGACAGTGCCAAAGAGGGTATTTAGCTTGCTTTTCTTGCTCTAATATAGGACTAGAAAGAATGTCCTGGACCACTGAGACTAGTCCCCTGCAATCACCATGTAATAACTATTTGTGAAAAAGGAAAAACGAGAACATCCATTCCAGATCTTGCACACCACAGATACAAAACACCTAATAAACAGTAGCCTGCAGCAGGGGTATGAAACTCAATAGGCCCTATGGGTAAGATAACTGATACAGGGTCAGTCCATGGGCCAGATCAGGCCTAGAGACTGGTCCCACACACGAGATCCAGCACACATGCTCCAGACATGCCCCACAGACTGGATCCATAGCACATGCTTGTTTCAGCACTGCACACACACAGGCCTCAACACCAGACCTCTATGCTTTGTGCAGCATGTGCCAGACTGGCTCACATGTCATGTGTAGCACATGGGGCTGGGTCCAGAGACAGTGTGAGCTGCATGCAGCATGCAGGCTGGTTCAGGGCACACTGATTCAATGTGCCGGTCCCATCCAAGATCCAAGGGCAGCACCATGGGCTGGATACAGGACTGGACACAGGCATGGGCAAACCAGGCAATCGCCTGGGGGGCAGACAGAAAGGGGACCTGAAAATGGTAATTTTTTTCCATTGTCCAATTATTATTATCATTATCTCTGGCAAAGGAGTGCCCGATACTAAAAGTTTGCTCAGGGCCGCCTGGAGGCTAGGTATGTCACTGGCTGGATGATAGAACTCTGAGGGCACAGGCCATATCTTTGATGTCCCAAACCTACAGTATGTCATAGGAAGAGCACAGGAGAGACAAGGGCAAAACTAATGTATAGGCTACCTTTAATATGTTCAAGAGTTTTCAGAACTGCTCTGAGGCTGCCAAACTCTCTCTGGGTATGGCCCTAAAAGTGAATCACTGATGATGTGCAGAAATTGCCTTTTACCCATTTGGGCCATTTTAGATGTGCTCACCATTTTCTAAACCACGTTAACTGATTTACATCACACAGTTGAAATCAAATTTTAGTTTGAATTAAGGGTTAATAGATAATCAAAGGAGTTTGCTCGTTCTTCACAGACCAGTATACTGCCCATATGCTTGGGCAGAGCTAGGGGCTTATCAGGATACTGCTACTTAGATACAGTGAGGTGTTCTTGGCACATTTGACTATGTAAAGGCTGTGGGATGTGTGGAAGAAGGGGGAATAGCCTTTTTTTTGTTGCAAAAACCCAAGTTGCAATGCTTATCTGCATTCCTAAGGAATGCTTATCTGAGTTCCTAAGCACTGTTTTTCCTAAAAGCAACATGATAATGTTACTTAATACAATTTAAATTGCCTAATTCAGGCTGCCCTTGCCTGCATTAACTTTGGGTGCAGAGAGAAGTGCAGATCCCAGCTGTAACCAGAATGATTTTTGCAAAGTGTTCCGAGTCACAGCATTACCCCAAACAAAACAGAAGATTACTGTTGGTTTAAGGGTGGGGGGAGGCAGAGAGGGGTGACGAATCTAGCTGGGGCTGGGAGCCTGCAGCCATGTCCCATAGCAATGCCCAGGGCTCTCTGCCAGTACTTGCTGTTTTCAGAATGGTGTGGGGGAGGGTGGCTGGGGAAGGCAACAGAGGGAGCTCATTCTTGGGACTCCCCAGCTGGTGCTGAAGGGTGGCATGGGTGAATTAGAGCTCCCCCCACCTGGGGGTGCTGCAATATACCTGCCCCACCCTTCAGGGGGGCTGAAAACCCCACAGACTGAACTCCCCTCCCTTTCCCCTCTCCCAATCTGAAAATAGTTACAGGCTGGGAGCTCAGCAGACACAAGTTACAAAACATGCTAGATTTTGAAACATCTTTATCTAATACCTCATGCAATGAGGGGTAAGATTTTCACCCAATCAGCCATTTTTTAAACTGTTTGCAGCTGTCCATTTGTACTTGGTCGCAGCCATAAACTTCTTTCTGTGGCCAGATCAGGTAAAAATTGTCACTTCTGTCTGCACCCTTTAATCCTCATTCAATGAAGATTAGTTATTTTGGACTGGAGCCAATTTTAATTCAGACTATATATGCATCCACATGTATATAGTGATGGCTGTAGTCTAGATTAAAACTTGAAAAACCTAATGTCCTTGGAATTATAAATGGTCTTCGAATTTGGCTGAGGAGATTCATAGAATTTCTAGGTCCAATCACTGATCTAATTGAGGGCTGGGGTGGTGCAGGCACTAAGATGCATGGCTGATAGTGCAGAGATTGAAAAATTGACGCCATAGCAGAATTGCTCAGGGTGCGGCCATGTCAGATTCCAATGAATCTACCAGTTCTGCTAAATGTAGTCACAAGACCAAGAAAAGGAAGAAGTTGTATAACTCTGTGGGGTAGAAAGCAAGAAGACAACACTACAGAAAAAGTACCATCTCCTATTTCATCCCACCCAACAGATTGCTTTATCTTTTCAGACTTGTTCATCAAACCTTATCTCTAATGCAACAGTGCCTAGAGGCCCCATTCAGGAATGAGGATTCCCCTGTGCTAGGTGCTGTACACACAATAAATTCACATCCTCCAGGCAACACATATGTATGTCAAAGGTTTCAAGCCTCTTTTTCCAATCCCTAGAGAGGTGCCTGGGCTGTGTGTCCTACAGTTCCAGACAACTCTGCAACTTGTCTTCCTGCCTGTGCATCAAACCATCTTCTCTTTCTCCTTCAAAGCCTTCTTTTAATCCAAAGCTTTCCTATCTTTCCTAAATTGATCTTCACCTCAGTAAAACCTCCACACTTCAGATATTTGTTAAGGGTTGTTTAGGGTTGGCTGGATAATGAGGATCTTCTGAAGACAAAAACTGACCTCCCCACCCCCACCCCCAAAATAAAAATGATTTTTATCAAATATTTTGTTTCTGAATTGTCAGCATAATCCTCTAGGAATGATGGGCTAGGTTCTCTGATTGGACATTCACCATGATACACCACATTCTCCCTTTTGGATAGGAGAGACATTACATCGTTGGAATGCTATGGTTGTGCCCCATCCTGGGAGGGGCAGTGTTAACCCAGGAAGGAGAATGGGTACACAAGGCCACATAACTACAGCTCCTATAAGGCAAGAAGCAGCAACATATTTGAATAGAAATTTCTTGGGGTTGGACCAGAAATTTAAGTATCATTTCCATAGAAAACAGATACCTCTTATGAATTTTTTAAGACACAATTTTACACCTCTAATGGAAAACTTTTGCCCAGTCCCACTGCCTTCCATTTCCTCTGTTTGTCTGAATTAGATAACCTCTTTAGTGCAGGCCCTATGTGTTTTAGCTGTCCAGTACATACAGCACAGTACTGTATATTAATAGTGCCTTATAATTAATTATTAAATTATATTTTCTTAATAAAAATCCAGTATAAATATCTTCAACTCTGAAGAACCCAAGACTGAACAATTCTTTCTTTCACATAAGGC